CTTGCATTCTTTTCTTCGTGCCTAGCTACTGAACATGTGAGAGCTTGCATGCTCTTCGTCATGCCTAGCCACTGAACATGTGAGATTAAGAAGTCGCTCATGTTTGACTTTAACTTGTCCTCTTAATCTTGGGATGAGACTAATGCCACCCTGTAATTGTTCTGTGACCAAGAAATTTGAGACTGTTTGGTAAGTAGTGACCATCTCAGGTATTATTATCATTATCTGGAAAGATCAGTACAGGGGAGAATGTGGCAGAACAATCCGTAGAGAGCTTCTTTTATTTTTGAAGGAAAGAGACTTCACGGCAGACATAAAGCCCCTGATGTTAACTTCTGAGGTTAGAATATTTCATATTCGGGGTACTTAGAATAACACCACATATGGTCATGGAAGAAAGATAGCACGTGATTTCTTCTGAAAATGTGGGGTTCCCTGCCTGAAAAGATGAGAAGGCTGACTCACCCGGAACGGGAGATGAGCGCTGACTGTGAGGGGTGGAACCCCAGACTTCAGTGTCCTTTCCTGTTCGATTCTGTTTAATCTTGTGACTTTGAGTGCTTTGCTCTGTCTCTGATCCTCCGTTTCATGAGGCAGTTCAAAGCCTCATGCTGCTACTATTCCCAAAGTTTCTAGGTGGCTTTGGGACTTCATGTTCAGGTTTTCTTTCAGCAGCAAATGTCACTTAGTTTTCTGGGTCATGTTCCCTGTGTTTAGCTCTGGATAGCTGGGCAAATCAACAGTGTACCTCCTTCCTGCCGTACTATCCTCCATGTTTTATTATGCTGAAAAAAACATCTTATGTGGTGACGTTCTGTTGTGATCTGGCAAATTCAATGCCACAATGATTCAAATGTCTTTCATTTCAGCACATTCTGAACACAGCTGTCTTCTCGCTGTGTCCTTGCAGAACAGAAGGGAACACGGGACCTTTCCAGGGTCTCTTTTGTAAATGTACCAACTCCATACAGAAAGACTGTAACCAACATCAATGGAGCATGGTTCATCCTGATCTAATCGCCTCTCCAAATCCCCACCTCCAAATTCCAGTATGGTGGTCAGTAGGATTCAGGTGTAGAAATTCTTAGAGGATGCACACACCAGTTCAGTATGGTGGTCAGTAGGATTCAGGTGTATAAATTCTTAGAGGATGCACACACCAGTCCAAAAGAAACAGATGCCTTGTTAAGCTCTGCTCATCTGCTGGACAAGTGTGTCTGTACATCATTGAGAAGAGGCACGATCTGAAGCAATAGCTCCAGAAGTTTCCCAGGGAGTCCAAGAAGGTGACAACCATGTGTGCTCTGGAGGTGGTACCGCTGGCTTCTACCATCAATGTCCTTTTTCCTCCATGACGTCAAGGCTGCCAATGTATTCATCTGTATTCTACTGCTTGAAGCAATAATATTATGGGATACCCAAAAAATAGACCACCCAAGAGGACTGAATAAATAAAATTACATTGAGCTTTTACTCTCTAGCAGTGGAGCGATCCCATGCAAAGCAGTCAGAAGCAGCCCTGACCTCCAACTTGCTTGATCTTTTAAAGGCAAAAATTGCAATTGTGTGATGGTGATGTATACAGGAAGCCAGCCATGGACATCTGTAGGAAGGAAGCAAACACTCTTTCCAGAAGCAGAAAGATAGCAGTTAAACAGGCTGCTCTCACAACCTTAAGGTCAGGAACACACTATATAAAAAGTTATGGCTCTTGTACATGACCAGTGACCAGTTTACCCAAGATTATGTTAGTACTTAAAGTTTGCCCTAGGAAAACTTTCACAAAATGGCATAACTGTAGTTCAGCAGTTCCACTGCAGGAAAAGATACTGAAAATCACAGCCCCATCCCAAAATCTTGTCTCTGTAATCACCACAGCTCATGAATCTACTGACTTTAAGTTAAATTTGTAATTAGCAAAAAACAGCTGCTTCCCTTTCCAGGGTGAGCTGGTGCTCACTGACCTGAACACAGACATCAGGATGCTTTAGCTTCTGTTGATCTATGAAAGTTTGAAAACATTCTAATGACAGATGTGAAAACTGTTCGCACTCCAGCTGAAAGAAAGAAAGCTGATGTCTCTCGAATTTGAAAAAAAGCTCCAAAAATACCCATGAACTAAAAAGTGCATTTCTGTCCATTATAGATTGCCTAAGTTTCTTCACATTTAAAATTTTATGCTTAGAACTATTAATGTATTTCTCAAAAGTGTACAAGAATATTAGTTTTCATATGTAAGAATATGAATATGGGATAGACTTATATCTTTCTAGGGTGAATATTGAAAAGTCCTGACTTTGTTAGTATGTTGAACTCTAATGTTATACATGGAAATTGTTGCCTCGACGGTAGCCATCTGTGAAGCATGATTCAAGTCTAAATTAAGACATGAGCCAGTAAATATGGTTCCTGGGAAAGGCATAATTTGAATGTACTGTCTGTTGAATCAGTAATTCTGTGGAATCTTGCCCAGCCATTGAACTTAGGTAGATGCAAAGAACAGTACTCAGGAGACTAGGCAGAAGGTGACTTCTGGGCTGGCCTTTTAAGGTTGATATCTTCATTCTGGCCCTGCTTCTTCCAGTCCCTGTTATAGAAACATTACCCACTCCACACAGGTGCAGTCTGACAGTGCTTCATCGCAGGCTCGGCTTCACCCGTCTCCTCTTGCTTCATTACTCCGGGTTTCTCCAAAATTACGGCAACTGATAACCCAGACCCACTCAACCCTCTTACCATGCAACCTTGCAAAGACAGATGATACAGAATCTGTGGAACCAGAAACTTATGAATAAATGTCTCCCTTTTATCTCCTACACAGATAATATGGAATATACATCACAAGGCTTTCCAAAAGTACCCTGGAACAAAACGATCGCCAGTCACAGTAGTCAACTCAAAAGTACCTTCTATTTTTTATTTTTGCTTTTGTTTTATCTTGATATGGAGTCATATTAACTTACCCAAGCTGGCCTTTAATTCATTGTCTTGTCCTAGACAGGTGTGTACTTATAATCCTCCTGTCTCATTCTTCCCTTGAGTAGCAGTGATTTCTTCTCTGGATTTTCCCTCATTCTCTATACACTCTGCCCTCATGGTGGTGGCCTGGGATCACATAGCTGAGAGTCTCCTTGGTGACTTTATTTTAGCCTCCGTGTAAGGATGGTCCAGGTTATGAAAACATTTTCCTTTCTCTGAGAAGTAGGGCATGTGTGCTGACATTTCCCCTTGTGTATTTATCTGTTGTAGAATTTCTCCAGAAGCATGACCTCAGGGGAGCAGAGAGACAGCTCAGTTATTAGGAGCATTTGCTGGCCTTACAGAGGATCCATGTCCTGTTCCCAGCACCTACATGGTGGCTCACAACTGCCTATAACTCCAGTCACAGAGGAGTTAACATTCTCCTGACCTTCAGGGACACATGGAAACACATAAACCACACACAGCCTATGAGAACAAAACCTTGCACGTTAGCCCTGCAAACTGCATCAGCTGCAGCACCACAGTGCTAACAGCATGCCCATGCTAGAGAACGACTACTCTTTGACAGAAGCAAAGCCTAACCTTGCCAAACACCTTGGGAATTCTGGACTTTTGCTTGTCTAACCATGTGACAACCTTTCTCTGTCTTAATATTGGTAACTTTTTGCCCCTTCCTGGGCCAACAATTAGTCTCCAGCACACATCTTCACCTCTTAGCCAGGGATTTCACTTTATTTCATCCCTGAGCCCTGAGTGATGTTTCTCATGGACCCAAACTCTCCATTTCAAATGCAGAAGTAGTTTTTTCCCTGTTACTGTATAATGCAGACAAGGCTGGTGTAGGACCCCAATGCCAGGACAAGCAGCTGGAGACTATCTAAGCATAGACAGGGCAAATAGATGTCATACCCCGAGACAGCGCTGAGTGGTGTACGACTTGAAGTGTGTGTCACAGGCTTTGCTGACTGGAGTAAATCACCTGTGAGATCCACCATGGACAGAAATGTCTTAGGCATTTGGTAATAGCAATAGGATAGCTCCATACTTATATAGTAATTACATATAATACAATTGTTTATATCACTGCTACTCAGCAATTAAATATTTTTTTCATTAAAAATTAAACAAAATAATTTTAAAAGTTGAACATGAACATAAGGAAGTCTGGAGAATACTCCAAACTCCATTTTCTTTAGCTGTTTCAGTCACAGCCCATCCATCTTAAGTCAGAGAGCTGACAATATTCACTGGTTATATCCTCAGCTCTTCCTAGACTGTGCCTTTCTAAGGACACAGGCCAAGCAGGGAAATCCAGATTATGGCAGGAAGCAGACATCGGAAACATCATTCTGATGAACTGTTCTACACCCTAACTAAGTCTTAGATAACTATAGCTAGAGGAATCTGAAGCCTTTCACTCCAGGGTAATAGTAAGCATAACCAAAACACACTTGAAGCCCCTCTGAACTCCTGATTAAAATGTCTAGCAGAATAAAGAGCCTTCTCAAAAGAAAAGATTTTGTCATTTGAAGGAAAATGAAAAGAGCTGCAAACCTTCACATTAGATGGCATAACAAACTGAAACCAATGCTCTATATATTCTCTCCTGTGCAAAATCTGGATATTTATTTACTAGGAATTTTATATATAAGAACTATATTTACATAATTCCCTTTCTCCCTCAAATCCCTGTCATGTCCTGCCTACTCATTTTCAAATTCATATCTGGTATGGTAAGTCCTTCTGTATGTGTGTTGCTTTTATTGGCTAATAAAGAAGCTGCTTTTAGCCATGGCTTAACAGAATATAGTCAGACTGGAAAAGATATAGAGAGAGAGTAGGCAGAGTCAGAGAGATGCCATGTAGCCGCCAGAAGAGAAAGAAGTGAACCGTCAGGTAGACCCTTCCTGGTAGACCATGAGCCTTGTGATAAAATATAAAGTAATATAAATTTGTTAATTTAAGATGTAAGAGCAAGCTAGAAATACATATAAGCTATTGGCCAAACAGTATTGCTAATAATATAGTTTCTGAGTGATTATTTTGGGTCTGGGAAGCCGGTAACAAACGAGCAGCCTCCTTCAACAGATTGACCCCACATGAAATTTCTTGCTTCATGGGAAAGTCTGCCAGATACTATGGGCCTGCAGGCTGAAGATGGATGCTCCAACAACACAGAAAAACCTTAGGTGACTGACAAGGTAATGAGATGTCTCTGTCAATTCTAGAGTTTTGAAAGTTACTTACAATGCACTTCATGTTTACTTAGGTAATATTATATCCTTCTAGAGACTTTGATGGAGTTGAAGAATAGTTATAGTTTTCCTTAGTTATTATAAATGATAAAGTAGATATAAATACTGTAACTATAATTCTTGCTTGATACGTGTTTGTTGTATGTAATTTTACTATGTTAAAGATAAAACCTTTCTTTTTATTTAGACAGAAAAGGGGAAATGGTATGGAAAGTTCTTCTGTATATGTGTTGCTTTTATTGGTTAAAAAGTAAAAGCTAGCAAGAAATATGCATAAGAATAGGTCAAGCAGTGATTTACTTAATACAGTTTCTGTATGGTTATTTCGAGTCTGAGTGACCAAGAACAAACAAGCAGCCTCCAATAACACATATCCTCTTATTTTTAATTACAGTTTGACATATCTGTGTATAAATTTATAAGTGCAATCTGCTGAGTACACATGAATAAAATGGCATATGAACCATGGTTTTGTATAATGAACATGTTTACATACTAGTCAAAACAGGAAGAGTATACTATCTCCAAGTCCATAAGCAAATACATACTCACCTGCACACACAGGCACATACACAAGCACCCATACATGTGCATATACACATGCACACACATACCCATGCATGCACACATGTACACACACATACACACACACACACACACACACACACACACACACTCACACACCTTCAGTACTACTGTCATATATATATATCAAAATCAGATCTTCAATAAGAAACTTTCAAGGCATAACTAATAAAAAACAAAAAGACAAGAAAAACACAGAACAAATATACCAAAACACAAAGCGAACTCATGCATGACAAAAAGACATGAGAACTACCAAAAATAAGATTAGAATAATTATAACTAAATCAATAAGGTCTCTGATGAACAGGTAGGTGCCTGTAGGGTCTTAAAACACTGACTAAATAATAGGAGAGAAAGAGGGGACGTGTTATATACAAACTAGCTAAGAAACAAAGAGGTAATCTTAAAGGGGCTCAGAGGGAGACAAAGATGTATTGCCTATAGCAGAACAAGGCTAGAAATTACAGCAGGCTTCTCAGATATCAGGAAAGGAGACAGTCAGTAGAGTGGTATGTTCAAAGCTAAAGGAGGGGTTCAACCCAAACTTCTATTCAGAATAAAAAAGAACTTCAAGAGTGAATGAAAGATAAAGAAAAAATCAATAGTTTACTTAAAGCCCAAAAGCTGCATAAGAAATGTTTTATTTTTCCAAAGAGCTATTGTAGAAGGAAAAATGAGACTCGGGCTAGAACTCAGACTTTCTAAGAGAAGTGAAACACTGGGGCTGACATCAAGTATAGTGAAGTAAACTGCTCTCCTGTATCCATTTGTCAGCAAGATAACTGTTAAAGAAAATCATAACAGAGGCTAGAGAGAGGACTCGGGCGTGGAGAGGACTTATCATTGTTGAGGGGATCCCACTTTCAGTTCCCAGCACCCACAGAGGCAGATCACCTGTAACTCCATCTCAGCTCCAAGGGATCAGACACCCTTATCTGACCTCATTGGACCCCTGCATTTATGAGCATGTACATGCGCACACACACACACACACACACACACACATACATATTTATATAAGCATACATATATATATATATGTATATATGAATATATAATTGAAAATAAAATAAGTTTTAGAAAGTAATTATATATGGAATATTCTAAATAAATGTAAAAATAGAGTACTTGATTTTTAAAATGCCCAAGAATATTCATTAAGGAATAATCACAAGAATATTACAATTTTAAACATATACATATCAAGCACAAGTGCTTCCAACTTCATGAAGCAGATCACTGTGAATAAAGTTACATGTTGATCCCAACATAGTAATAGTAGGAGATTCCAATATTTTGTTATCATAAATACACAATACATCTGAACAAAAAAAAGAAAGGAGAAACGTTGGAGTTAAATGAAACCATGAATCAAATGGACATGGGCATGGCAGACATCCATAAAGTCCATACAAACATTAGAGAATGTAAATTCTTCTTAAGACCTCATAGAACCTTCAAAATAAACCACATATCAGGACATAAGGCAAGCCTCAACAAATACAGAATATTAAAATAACTTTTATATTCTCTCAGATCACAATAGAATAAAGCTATATATCAACAGCAAGAGATACCACAGAAAGCATTCAAATTTGTATAGATTAAATAACATACATTTAATCATGAGTAGATCACTGAAGAAACTAGAATAGAAATTAAAATTATCCAAGAATGCTGCGGTATTGGAGGAGGGCTTGCTTGTTCATCCCGGCTACCCGGCTAACTTAACCCTGAAATAACCACACAGAAACTGTATTAATTAAATCACTGCTTGACCCATTAGATCTAGGTTCTTATTGGCTAACTCTTACATCTTAATTTATCCCATTTCTATTAATCTGTGCATTGCCACATGAAAGTGGCTTACCAGGTAAAATTCCCACCATCTATCTCCGGTGTCTCCATGGCACCTCTTGACTCTGCCCTTCTTTCTGCCAGAATTCATTTCTGTTTTCCCTACCTACCCAAGTTCTATCAACAGGCCAAGGCAGTTTCTTTTTTTTTTTTATTGAGCTCTACATTTTTCTCTGCTCCCCTCTCTGTCTCTCCCCTTCCCCCTTCAGCCGTCCCCCAAGGTTCCCATGCTCCCAATTTACTCAGGATATCTTGTCTTTTTCTACTTTCTACTTCCCACATAGAGTAGATCTATGTAAATCTCTCTTAGTTTCCTCATTGTTGTCTATGTTCTCTGGGATTGTGGTTTGTGGGCTGCCTTTCTTTGCTTTATGTTTAAAAAAACACATATGAGTGAGTACATGTAATAATTTTCTTTCTGTGTCTGGGTTACCGCACTCAGAATGTTTTCTAGCTCCATCCATTTTCCTGCAAAATTCAAGATGTCGTTATTTTTTTCTGCTGTGTAGTACTCCATTGTGTAAATGTACCACATTTTCCTTACCCATTCTTTGGTTGAAGGGCATTTAGGTTGTTTCCAG